AGCATAGTATGCATAAAATCACTGTAATACAAAGTCTTTACCTCTTTGGGAAAATACCTAGAAAAGGAATACCTGGGTTAAATGGAATTCCTATTTTTAGTTTTTTGAGGATTCTCCATACTGATTTCCATAATGATTATACTAGTTTACATTCCCACCAGCAACGCAGAAGGGGTCCTTTTCCCCTGGAGCCTCACTAGCATTTGTTATTACTGAATTTCTTGGAGATAGTCATCTTTTCTGGAATAAGATGCAATTCCAGGGTTGTTACAATTTGCATTTCTCTAATGGCCAGAGATACTGAACATTTTTTCATGTATTTATTAGTCATTTCTACTTCTTCTGAGAAGTATTTATTCATTTCAGTTGCCCATTGTTTGACTGAGTCCTTTATTTCGGGTTGGTAATTTTTTTCCCATTTTGTAGGTTGTTTGCATTGCTGTGCAGAAGCTTTTTAATTTGATACCATTTGTTGACTCTTGGTGCTATTTCTTATACATTTGGGGTTCTGCTCAGAAAGTCTTGTCTTCAAGAGTCTTACCTATTTTATCTTCCTGTAGATTAAATGTTGCTGTTTTAATATTTACATTTTTGATCCATTTTGATTTTAGTTTAGTATGCGGTGAGAAATAAAAGTTTAGATTCAATCTTCTATATATGGATAGCCAGTTTTCTTAGCAACATAACAAGCAGTAGTTTCTTAAATGTTAAGTGCAGTTGGAAATCTGGACGACAAGGAAATTTTTCATATACTGTGACATTAAAAGCCATCAATTTGGGCTAGGGATGTAGCTTAGCAGCACAGTGCCTGCCTGGCAAGTGCGAGCTGGTGAGTTCAATTTCCAGTACCCAAAAAAAAAAAAAAAAAAAAATCAATCTGCTTCACACTTAGAATGGATCCTCTAGCCTTATGTGACTTTATAACACCATATATTCTTTTTTTTTTTTTTAATCGGTATCGGGGATCGAACTCACAACCATGTGCTTGCAAGGCAGGTGCTTATGCCGCTGAGCTAAATCCCCAGCCCCCACCATACATTCTTTATCTGGAAAATACCAGTTTTCTCAGTCATGGAAGACTCCCAAATCATGACAAATAACATTCTACAAAATCAGAATCAGTTCATTAACATCACTACTGATCTTGTCAAAAGTCTTCAAGTATGGGAAGATGTCAAGTTTGCAGTTAATTTTCCAAAACCCTACTTTTTACTTTAAGGTTTCAATTTTATCATTTGTACAAATACTTTCAATTGTTTCCTTGAAGTCATAGGTTCATTTCTATCATTCTCAGGAAAAAGATCAGCCAAATGGCCATACTTGTATAACCAGAGTTAGCCCACAGGTCTAATTCCAAAGATGGTGGTGTCCCTAGAGAACAGGCTAGCAGTCTCAGCAGTCCTCTCTTGGAGACAGCTCTCATATATGGACTGCAGCACAGGTGCTTTATGCATACTTCCCATGTATTCTACAGAGCATCAGTGAAACTCATCAGTCTTAGCAACACTCAGAGGTGAAACTGGGGTTTTCTTCTCTTTTTATAAGTGTGTGGTTTTCCATTTCAGACATAAAAGGTTATAACAGTGCTTGGTTTTTAAAGAACTCAGCACATACTCACTTAAAATGTTGGTTTTTTGAAACAAGTTCTCAAGCCTGGCCTTGAACTCATATGTAAGCTAGGCCGGCCTTGGCTCACAGTGATCCTCCTGCCTCAGTCTCCTGGGATTGTAAGGGTATACCACCATACCCACAAAAATTGTTGCTTTTTAAATGTAAAGTATTTCCTTAAAATTAAAATGTTGTTTTATCTTTAAACTTTGAATGATGGTCTCAAAATGATGTCACAATTTCATTGAACCTGTAATCCTATGAACATCCTTTTCACAGACAAAAATGGCAAAGAATAAACATCTATATAGCCAAGGGAAAGAATGCTTTTGTTCCATTTTTGTTTCTTATTTACAGCTTTGTCAAGTTTCTATGGTGTAGATTTCCACCACTTCATGCATCACACAATTCTTTGGTATTTCAGTTTCTTTCTGTTTTGGGGTGCTAAAGATGAAAGCCAGGGCTTTACATGTGAGGTAAGCACTCAAATACTAAACTATATCCCCAACTCCTTTTTCTTTTTTCTTTTCTTTTTTTGTCTTTTTCCTTTTTATAGGTACTGGTGATCGAACTCACGACTGCCTGCTTCCAAGGCAGGCACTTATGCCGCTGAGCTAAACCTCCAGTCCCCTTCTTTTTTCTTTTTGTTAGCAATTATCAATTTATTAAAATAGACATCTGCAATGGTACTTCAACCTCAGCTTCTAAATCAGCAGTGACAGCAGGAACCTGCTCAACATCCTGAGAAGGGTTATACCAGCAAGTGTGATACTTATGGAATTATTATCTGGAAAGGATCCCCAGGGACACTCTCAGTCTTGGGTCAGCATCCGAACTGCACCTTCACTTTGAGATTCCATTCCTTTGCACCTCTGCAATCAGCATACATCCTCTCCAGGGATTTCTGTCACAGCTGACAAAGATGAGTCTAACCTACCAAACCACAATCTCTGGTTCTGAGTGTCCTTCCATTATCTTGAAAAGTCAAGGCCATGGTACAACTTCCTGAATGATTCATTCCGCAGCAAGAGAGGACAGCAGTGAGCCAGGCATGGGAGAAAACAAGGCACAGGTCTGCAGCACTAACGACTGCACCTTTCTCAGAAGGCTTGGGTTCCTTCTGAGCATCTCTGGATTTAGATGGTGCTGTTATGGTTGAAAAAACAAGTCTCTTGTTTTTAAGTCAATGACTCATACTTACATGTAAAAAACACATTATAGATATTCTTTTAGAAAATTTATTAGTATCTAAAGTAACATTTTAAGATAAAATTCAAAATTTGGGGAGGGTGCTGAGGATCAAATCCAGGACCTTGTATATACTAGGAAAGAAGTCTCCCACTGAGCCACATTTAAAAAAAAAAACTCACGACTAGGGATATAGCTCAGTGGCATAAGCACCAGCCTGGCAAGCACAATGTCCTGAGCTCAATTCCCAGTACAATTAAAAAAAAAAATTTTTTTTTTTTTTTTGAGACAGGATCTGACTAAGAAGTGCAGACTAGGGGCTGGGGATTTAGCTCAGTGGCATAAGTGCCTGCGTTGCAAGCAGGCAGTTGTGAGTTCCATCCCTGGTACTGATAAAAATGAAAAAGACAAAAACAAACAAACAAACAAAAAAAGAAGTGCAGGCTGGCCTCGAACTTCTGGTGACCCTCCTGCTCAGCCTCCCAAGTGCTGAAATGACAGACATGTGCTACCATGTCTGGCATACTCCCTTGATTTAATCCCCAATATTGCAAACAAAATAAAACAAAACACTAACTTTTTCCCTATCCCTAATAACCTTATTTTAAGAAGCAAAGTGTTAAAGGACATATTTAAACTCCCTATAATTGTAGTTATTTCTGAGAACTGGCATTATACTCAAGTCTTTCTAGAGACAATAATTTCTAATGGTATGACATCCTAATCTTAGTCACATGTAGGCTTTTCTCTTCCTCTGGACTGTGGTAGTAAAGTCACTGAGAATTCAGGCCCCACCCCCATCCCTTTTTGGAGACAGGTTCTCACTATGTAGTGCAGGCTGGCCTTGAACTCACAGCAATCCTCCTGCCTCAGTCTCCTCTGAGTGCTGGGATTATAGGCCCGTGCCACCATGCCTGGCTTAGCTCCTTTCCCTCTCACTCTTCCCAAAGGTCCCTTGAGCCATGCGTCCTTTTTTCCTGGCTTACTCAGCTCTCAACTTCTTCCTGTCTGCCTTCTCTTTACACCCCATCCTATTCCATGTCTACCCAAGAGATCTCCACTGCCCTGGGCCCCATTCTACCCATAAAAAAGCTATAAGCATAAAAACTCTTGAATAAAATATAGGTTTAAAAAAATTGAGGCCATTTTCAACAAGTCTAAAATGGAAAAGGAAATAAAAACAAGTTGAGTTTTATAACTTCCAAAATACATCATCAACAGAATGATGAATAAACTGGAAGGAAAATCGTGACAAAATATACAACACAGAACATCTTGCATACATATGGCTATTAAAACTTGACTTTTAAAAGATGCAAAGGAAAAATAAATAAACACAAAATAAAAGATGTGAACAAACAGGTGTGGTGGCACACAGTTATAATCCCAGCACTCAGAAGGCTACAGCAGGAGGATTGCAGCAATTTGAGGCCACCCTGGGCTGCATAGTGAATTGACGGCCAGCCTATACTACACTGTGAGAACCTGACTCTAAATAAATAAACGAACAAAGTATACAAAGTACCTCAAAAAAGTAAATACAAGTGCCCAATAAACATGAAAAATGTTTGCCTTACTACAAATAGAAACAAAACCTTAGAAATCCTCTGACTGCCTCAGCAAAAGGCCAGTTATTTCAGTCATAGGGTTTCTACATCTGGCAAAGCAAGAAATTGTCTGCAGCCTTGCCCTCTTGAACTAGGATACTTGAGAGTCCACTCAATCCTTGGCCCCACAGCCTTCTAAACATCACATTCCAACCATCCTCTTGGAGTATTCTCTCTCTCTTTTTTTGCTACTAGAAATCAAACTTAGGACCTTGCACTTGCCAGGCAGGTGCTTATGCCACTAGGCTATATCCCCTGCCACAGAATGTCTTCTTTTTAAGAACATTCAAGCACTCAAATCCTAGCACTCAAGAGACCGCTGTGAGTTCAAGGCCAGTGTGAATTACATAGTGAGACTTTATCTCAAAAAAAGAAAGGAAGAGAGAGAGAGAGAGAGAGAGAGAGAGAGAGAGAGAGAGAGAGAAAGGCAGGCAGACAGACAATATGCAAAAAGAAAGGGGAAAAGAAAAAAGAAGGGACATTCAAACTGGTAGGTCAATATGTCATTATGAGCCTCACTCAGCATCCCTGCTGGATATTTGCTACTCAGACTCACTGCATTTAAATACAGAAGTCTTTTATCCCTGTAATTCTTACCAAGGGTTTCCACCGGCCTGCTTCTCCAATAATAACCTCTTCTCATCTTCAGAAAACTGTAAGTCCAGTTCAAAAGAGTTAGTGTCCAAATCATGGATGTACTGCTCTATGTTGCTGCCTGACCTATGGGGCAGGCCAGCATCCACTGCAGACAGGGAATGGGAGGAGGAGGATGACGACACTTGCATGCAGCCAAACTGGCTCAGGAGATTATCATACTGCAGGGAAGAAGAAAAACAGAGAAAGGTGCCTTAACTTGCCTCTCAGGTCAAAACCCCACACAGTATGTATCCCTGAGGTCCTCCCACACCTGGTGGACTCCCACACACAACCAAAGAATGTGGCTGTCTGTCCCTTCTGGTAAGCATACAGAGATCTTATTCTCCTCTGCCAGATCATCTGGGTTGCTAAGCCAAGGCAGCAGTGATTTTAGTGCAGCTTTGGAAGATTTTTAGGTATAAGCTAAAGTTCCTCAGTCAACTAAAGTAGAACTCTATGCTCAGGAATAGGCTGGAAAACATTTCAATGCTGATCAAACCAGAAAAAACGTACATCAATGACAAGGAACTTCCAAAAATCACTTCTAAGTATAGTGAGGTCACAATGGAGAATGGCTGAGCTCAGATATGACGGGCATGACAACACATGTCTGTAATCCCAACCCCTGAATGGCTGAGGCAGGTGGATCATAATCAGTTCAAGGCCACACAGTGAACACAGGGTTGGCCTGAACTATACAGCAAGACCCTGGCTACATAGGAAGTTCACAGCCATCCTGAATTACACAGCAAGACCCTATCTCAAAAAAAAAAAAAAAAGTTTTAATAACAAGGTAATAATAAAACCCTATACTTGTAATCAAGTCTTGGGAGATAAGGAACCTCAAAGTCAGTGACCCTAGAGCTGCACCTTTCAGATGAGGCAGGCCTGCTCCTGCTAAGCATGGATCTGCACTGACTAAGGGCTACCCTCTAAACCCACATGTCCAGAAATTCAAGGCCCAAGTATCTCTTAGAGATAAGCAGCATTCAGAAACTCTTAGACACAATTATAAAAGCATGGAGCCAAAAGCTCTGGTGCCAGAAACCAATGAGCTCTGATGCCAGAAGCCCAGACATCAGTGCAGGCAGGGAGCTGTGCTTTTACCCAGCATGGGCCACCAACTCCACTTCTATGGACACAACTCATCAAACCACTCACAGCTGAGGACATGAGAAGGACTTAGCCCTCCCAGGGCCTTGTGGCCACAGTCACATAGCAACGAAGTGTCTAACCACCCATAGGTCTGCAATGCTGGCTCACACTAATCACACAAATCCATGTTCCATGGCACAAGGGCATGGACCCCTTGTACACAAAGGAGCTGTGCCCTATAGCATGACAAGCAGACCTCTCTGCCCAGACTTGCCCATTGATACTGGCTTACATTGCCATAGCAGTCCTCGTCGTCCTCTGACATGGCTGGCAAGTAAGCTGTGAGCTTCGGGGGTGTCTGCTGGTGCAGATTCTCCCATGTGATAGATTCAAAGAATGAATGAGCCTTGAGAGGTTCGTACCCTTCCATCTCTTCACAGCCTAACCGCTTTGTGGAATCCAAAACCTTAAGTGGTAATCAAAACAAGTTACTGTCAGAGTTAAAGCGTAATTCTAACAAAAAGGATGTTTCGGAGCAAAATCCTTTTAGATTCTTAGTGCTTCCTGGAGGTCCATCCCAGGCTGCTGAGTTCTTGTCTTACCCTGAGGCTCTGCTCTCTGTCTCTCAAAGATGAAAATAGATTTGACATCAACTTCTTCAAAATATAGCAGGCAATAAATATTCTTTTAAAATATGTAATTATAAAAAAAGTACATGGTGAGATCAAGCCTGAACTACACAGCAAGATCCTATCTCAACAAACAAACAATATATAAAATATGCAGTTAAAAATCCTACAACAAGCTAAGCACAGTAGCACATGCCTGTATTAACAGTTACTTAGAAGGGTGAGGCAAGAGGATAATGAGTTCCAAGCCAGCATGGATAATTTGGCAAGAAACTATCAAAATAATCAAAAAGAGTTAGGGATAAAGCTCAGCAGTAGAGTGCTTGCCTAGCATGCACAACGCGCTGGGTTCAATTCCTAGTACTACAAAGAAAGAAAGGAGGGAGGGAAGGTAGGAATGTTCTAAAACTAGGAAAAAAAAAAAAAAAAAAAACCCCAAAAAACAGAAAATAAAAAAACCAAACTGATCAGCTCTAATAGCAAAAAAAAAAAAAAAAAACCAAAAAGCCTGGACAGCAAGCTCTTTCAGACATGATGCTAAATACCCCCCTGTCTTTCAAAGGGCTGTAGCACTATTTCTTGCTGGACATAGAAAGAAAAAAGAGACAGGAAGGCCTATGCTCACCAGACACACAAGGAAGCAAGCTCAACTCTCACCAAAGGGTGCTAAGGAGTAAGAAATGAGTGGGAAGAAGCTGATCCTGGAGCTTGAACTGACTCTGCTCTCAAGAACAGAGGTAAAAGGGCAGACAGTGTCCAAAGTAACCAGGGACAGAACACTTCGGTTTCTGGAATGTAAATTGATATACCTTTTCCAGGTGCGTCTGCTTTAGTTTCATTATGTGATTGTTGATTTTTTTTTTTTGTCTTTTTCATTTTTATCAGTACCAGGGATCGAACTCATGACTGCCTGCTTGCAAGGCAGGTGCTTATGCCGCTGAGCTAAATCACCAGCCCCGGATTGTTGATCTTTAAAGTTTTCCTGTAGCTTACTATACAGTTGACATCAACAGATATCACTGTGTAGCATTTAAGCCATCTGTCACTGTAATAAACCTAGCTGCTCCAGCAACATTAACTGAAAGGGCTATGCAATGTTGATGAGCACATGTAAAATGAAAGAGTAATTTCTTGTCTTATTAAAGGTACTTTAAAAGTGAAAGGAATTATAATGAGGTGAGATGCAAGAAGACATGGCTCTATCTATAATCTCTGTCAACTCTGAACATACCTGTCCTTCAACATAGCAGCCTCCAGGAAGATCCTTCAAGTACAGAGTCAGAGAATTCAATATGTGGCCAGGGTTCCCTCATCAGAGACAATTCAAAAAGCTTACCAAGAGTTTTTCCACGAGGTCTCTTGCCTTAGGAAAGAATTTTTCTGGGAAGTCATATTCCAACTTAATGATCTTCTGAAATATAAGATATTCATTTCTATGAATTTAAAAAAAAAAAGCAGTCTTTCAGCGAGGATCTTGCAAACCTCCAGTACCAGGTACAACCTTCCTGGGATAACGCAGCATTGCCCTGCCACCCACAAGTCATCACATCCTATGTACTTGAGAGCTACAGAGTAAGTTCCTCCTTAGCTCACCAGTCCCTGGAACCGCTCTCCCACTCTGCCAGAAGGAGGTGTGCTTCAGAGAAGGAGGAAAACCCAAAGTCTTCTTACCCAGCTCGGAATGGTGGGAGTCCTGCCACAAGCTGGTATATTATACATCCAAGAGCCCAAAGGTCTGAACTTTAAGGTAGGGGGAAAAAAAAGAAAGAAAAATGGCATTGGTACAATTCAAATGACAAACACAGTTCATTTTTTACTCCATACTCTCCCAGTTTCAGTTTCTAATGTATTTCTGTCCCTTAGAATCAGACAGGTATGAAATTTGAACCTGCCCTTTTGTGAAACCTCCACTGAAATTTGGATTCAGAGGCGCCTGCACTCGGTAGGCACTACCAGCCAGGCTTTAGGTGGCCCTATTGCACTAGGGGCTAACAAATTCTACACATGCATCATAGTCCCATCCTAAAGGAAATACAGAGTTCACTGGCCATCAAGGAACAGCACTGGGAGAGCTGGCCCCATCTCCTGGTGGAGGTACAGTTAAAATTAACCCAGACTCTTTTCTGATCCTTTTTTGTGCTCACCCCAGGACAGGTGTGTATGCAAACATGCCTCAGGGCAAAGGATCACTGACTATCCATAAAATGTGCACATTGATATAGGCTCTGCCCTTCACCTCGCAGACTCAGCTATGAAAAATATCGCCTGTTCTTTATAAACATTTGGATTATCCATTTAAAAAAGAAAATAGTTCAGCTCTAAATGCCTCTAAGTCATTTCTAGAATGTAGCTAGATGTTCTGAGTCCCCAGCTGGCATGACTCTGAGGTTGCCACCCTCTCACCTAAGGGCTAGACACTCTCCCACACATTCAGCTCTCCTGCACACCTGCAGCATGCTGAGATGACTTTATCGGCCTTGTTCCCTCTGAGTCCTGCTTTCCACTCCCCTAAACACTGAGCTCACAGGCTGCAGACAGTAACATGATGCTCTGGAAAATGATGCTGTAAACTGGGTGAAAGCCACTGCTCAAGAAAAAGAGACCAGCTGCAGTGCCAAGACTTGAGAGAAGACTCTATCTTGGCCCTGGCATCCACAAGACTCTACCTTGGCTGGTACACAGGTGAGTTACTTGAGATAGGTTTAAAAATACAACAGGTTAGAAACCTGAGTCACAACACAATGAAGGGCATATAAACAAATGAATTTACATGCAACTCAGTAAATAGTTCTTACACTTGGCTTTATGTATGTTTAGTTAAAGTAAGAAGCACGGCAGAAAAAACAAGGCTGCAAAGCACACACTATCACCACCACCTTGGTACAGAAGCAGTAGAAAGGGAAGGGCACAGTGAAGCTGCACATGCCACTTCACAGAGTTCCCTCCACAATGTAAGAATTCAAGCAGTAAGGACACTCTGAGAGACAAGCATGGTGATGCACACCTGTATTTCAGCACTTGAGAGGTTCACTCAGGAGCATTGCAAGTTGAGGTCAGCATAGTATAGTGAGTTCAAAGCCAGCCTTAGCTACACAGAAAGAATCTTGTCTCCAAAATATAAATAAATACATAAAGTAAGGGCTCTGGTGTCACATGCCTGTAAGTCCCAGCATTCGGGAGGCTGAGGCAGAAGGACTGCAGCAAGTTTGGGGCCAGCTTGGGCTACAAAGTAAGTTTAAGGCCAACCTGAACTGCATAGTGAAATGCTGTCTCACAAAACAAAACAAAACAAAAGGATCTGGGTTAGCTTCTATCACTATGAAGTATCTCAGTTTCATCATAACCACGAATTTAGGATTTTAAATGTTTTGTCAATAAAACGATAATAAACAGGGAAGTCCTATAATTGTTCTGGAAAGCAGAGTATACTAAGGATTTTATAAATGCTCAGTTAAACCAAGTCAGGCCACTTGCTGAAACTCACGTGGAGGAATTTAGAGCAATCCTATCTTTCCCAATATGAAGACCTTGGGTAGGTTCAATCCCTGTATTACTAACACCCCCCCCCAAAAAAAAAATCAGAAAAATTTTTAATTATTTTTAATGACTATCACAAAATTAAGTTTTAAAAGCAGAAACAATACACTGATGCATCCCTCCAAACCCGACTACTTTTACTTGTTGCTTGCATATCCTCCTACAGAACATTAATCATTCACAAAGAACATGTATGTATGTCTCTTCTATACACAGAAGATAACTTGTGTGCCTAACTCCTTATACCTTATAACCTAGAGATCTTTTCCTTAGTGCAGAAGAGCTCAGCATCTGGGGAAGTACCAACAGCAAAGAGAGCTGGCTCTTGGATTAAGTGATATATCTGGAAAGCCAGGAGACTTTACCCACTACCTAACACTGCAGACATTGACAGGCGCACCCTCCTATGCCTCACAGGATGCTGAGCAGCATCCATGGCTTCTGCCCACGGTGAGCCAAGAGCACCCCCAACCCAAATGCAAAAACCCAAACTGTCTTCAGACATGGCTAAGTGGCCTCAGAGGCAGAACTGCATCTCCTGGCAACTCTGACATGCAACAGTTATTTTTCTTTTCTTTCTGTCTATTTTGGTTTTTTTGTTTGTTTGTTTTGAGACAAGATCTCGCTATGCAGTTCAGGCTGATTTTCAGCTCACTTTGTAGCTCAAGCTGGTCTGGACTCTCAACAATCCTCATGCCTCAGCCTCCCAAGTGCTGGGATTACAGGCATGTGCCACTGCACTCAGCTTTGACATACAACAGTTCTGATTCACAGGAAAAAGTCAAAATCTATACAATGGAATATTACTCAGAAAAAAAAAGGTCAAAATCTAACGAATGCATGAGGTTGGGTAGGGCTGATAACCACTGAGATGCCCAAGATTAAATTTTCAGAGCATCCCTTCCACTCTGCTATCAAGTTTGTGCCTATGGTTCAGCCCCTACTTGGAGTTTTCAAAACCAGGCTGGACTATATAGAGAGACCTGTCTGAAAAAACAGAAAGAAAAGAGGGAGGGAGAGGGAAAGGAAGAGAGGGAGAGAGGAATGGAAGGAGGGAGTGATGGTAAGCTGGCTAACTAAAATCACTCACTCATTCTCCCCAGGGTAGCCAACCAGAACAGGACAGTCTTCAAAGAGGCCATCACAAGGCCAAGTAGCAGAGTAAACCAAGCACTTATGAGTATGGGAGTTTAGCTCAGTGGCATAAGTCCCGCCTGGAAATACAAGATCATGAGTTCAATTCCAGGCGCAAAAATAAATAAATAAATAAAATAAAGTAACTAAGCACTTAGCAGAGTTTCACAGCCTAGGACAGAAAGATGCATCTATTCTAGAGACTTTGTTACCTAGAAATGTTTCCCAAACCTAGAACACAGATTCTAATGCACCTCTCAATATCCAAAAACAGCATCTTCAACTACTCCCTGATGCGGGCCATCAGGTCCCTGGCTTTCTGTCTTCTGCTACCCAGCTGACCTATGGACTGATCTTTTTCAACTCTGAAACCTATGATCTCACACACACAACACACTCCTAGACCAGTTCAGAACCTATGACCCTCATGTCACACTGCGCTTCTATTATTCAGGACTGAGTCTACCACCAAGGCCCAGTTGAATCTCCCCAATACCCTTGCCATCGTTAGCACAGGAAGGGCTGTCCCAGGACTGGCTGCCCTCTAATGGAAACTTCCTTTTCTCTTTCCTCCAAGGCCTTTGCCCACTCCTGCAGAGGTTATGTCACTGAACAGTTAGCTCTTCAGCATAACACTCACACTTCTTCCACTGAACAGATTTCCTTAAGAAAAAGAGTCAAATCTCTAATCAAAAAGCAACAGCAAACTCCAAGTGTAAAATACTACAATAAAGTAACATAATTGGGCTGTAAAGGAAAATTACAGATTAAAAAGCAAAAACAGTCACCATGGCACACACCTGTAATTTCAGCTACTCAGGAGGTTGAGGGAAAGGGATCACAAGTTCAAAGCCAGTCTGAGCAACTCAAACTTGAGACATATGCTCAAAAAATAAAAAGAGCTGGGAGTAAGGAGGCTCAGTGAATTCAGTTCCCAACATCACACACAAAATATGTTTGGATATTTACAACTCTAGGCACATTCAACCATCTGATCTTTGACAAAGAGGTAAAAAATACGTGCTGAGAAAAGAAGATAGCTTCTTTATGAAATGGTGCTGGGCAAACTGGCTAGCCAGACAGTAGACTGAATCTAGATCCATATCTCTGACCATCACTAAACTAAAATCAAAATGGATCAATAATGTAAATATTAAAACAGCAATATTTAATCTGCAAGAAAATAAAATAGTTAAGACTTGAAGACACAGGTATAGACAAGGACTTTCTGAGCAGAATGTACAAGAAATAACACCAAGAGTCAACAAATGGTATCATATCAAATTAGAAAGCGTGTGCACAGCAAAGCAGACAACCTACAGAACAGAAAGAAATTGGCAGCCATTCCTTAGAGCACACTCTCAAATACACAAAGAACTAAAAAAAAAAATTAGGTTGGGTGTGGTAGCGCACACTTGTAATCCAGATACTTGGAAGGCTGAAGTAGGAGGATAAACTTAAATTCAAGGCCAGGCTAGGCTACATACTGAGTTTAAGGCCAGCCTGGACCATATAGCAAAATCTTGTCTCAAAAGAAAAAGAAGACTCCTCCTAAAATAAAGACTCAGTCTAACACTGGGCAACTGAAATGAATAAATACTTCTCATAAGAAGTACAAACAGCCAATAAATACATGAAAAATGTTCAGCATCTCTCTAGCCTTTAGAGAAATGCAAATTAAACAACACTGAGATTCCAACTTATTCCAGAAAGAACGGCTATCACCAAGAAATCCAATAATAACAAATGCTGGTGAGGCTATAGGGAAAAAGGATCCCTTCTGTACTGCTGGTGGGAATTTAAGCTAACACAACCACTATGGACATCAGTATAGCAATTCCTCAAAAAAACTTAACTTTCTGAGCTTCTAACCCCAAATGCACAAGAAATAGCACCAAGAATCAACAAATGGTATCGTTATCATATTAGAAAGCACTTAATCCAGCTACTCCCTTTCTAGGTATCATTCCAAAAGAGTTAAAGACATCATCTTAGAGTGATTTTATGCATACTATGTTTATAACAGTACAATTTAGCCTGGATGTCCAATCACCAAATAAATGGATAAAGAAAATGTGGCCTTTATATGCAATGAAGTAGTACTCTCTCATAAAGGATAAACTTGAGTCATACTTTGTAGAAAAACAGGTACATGTTGAGACCATAATGCTAAGTGAAAAAATTAGACACAAAAGCTAAGTGTCACATGATTTTCCTTACGTGAGAAACCCCAAGCACAAATAAGAGCAAAATATAAGACTATATAAAATAGGGAAATAAGATCTTTTGCAAGCATTGGGGAAGTAGGAGGTGGGAAAAGAATTAAAATGTGTTACATACAAGTATCAACTCTTCCTGAAGAATATAATTATTATATATTATAAGCATGTACCAATAAAAATTAAAAGTAAAGTATGTGTGGATATTTAAAAGTCACCAAATTTCTTTTCTCAAGTATTACTTTCTCATGAAGAAACCAAGCAGCTACTCCAGAAAAAGTGTCGTGGGATAAAAACAGGTTACCTCTTACAGGCTGACTTCTCTGTGAGCAGCTCTGGAGAAACATACTGTGCTGTTCCCACAAATGAGTTGGCCCTGGCTGAGAAGAGGAGAAAGAGAAAAGGTCACTCTTGGAGACACAATTTCTTGCCCTCCATTGCAGTTGCCCTGTTGGAGCATTCCTCAGGTGTCAAGGTCTAACATAGCTGACAAGAGTCGGTTGGCAGTGGTGTTATCTGGAGCAGCCAGCTAGCCCAGGTCCCACCTAAGGGCACCTGCTGGACCCTGACATTGCACCCTCTTCTCTGGTCCCTCCTACCTGATGCCTGGTGAGAAAGTGCCTATCACACTCTCTCATCATGCAGTCACCAGACCAAGGCAGCATGAGGACAGGCCTGTCTGTGTTTTACTCACTGCTGGACCTGTGGCGCCTAAACACATGGAACACACAGCAACCACAACAAACAGCTGAGGCCAGGGATCCCTCTTTTCAGTCACCAATAGCTTACATGTTTGAGACCACAATCATAGGAATATTCAGCTTCCAGCCCCCAAGGCTCAGCCTATGTGACACTTAATAGTAGGCTACAGTGCTGGCATGCAGACCCTCTAGACCCACAAATCACTGAAGACTCCTGATTGCCCAAAGGCCCAAGGACAGAGACGATTCATCAGCTATAGTATGGCAGACAAGAACAGTACAATAGCTGGTCCAGCTTCCTCCGTTCCAGGGACTGGCAGGGCATCACCACCTGTCCTGCCTATAGGCTGTGAGCTGTCCTTCCCACCAATTAGACAGAGGAAGCCCACAGCTCTGCTATAGGGACCCAGCCCAGGTGGTCCCTCAGTTCTATAAACGATCCCTTCAGTACACTGGTTTCTGTGAAGATTTCATAGTGCATTTGTGTCCTCCAAAACCCAGAAAAATACTGTCAACAACAGTGGGGAGACACCTATGAGAAAAGAAAACCAAACCAAGAGCCAATAACATATAAGACCATTCAACAATGTAATGTGCCAAAGAGACGTGAATTAATAAAATAATTCATCCAAAAGGCAACAAGAAAAGGACTAATACATGATACTGGTAAGGATCTTGGGGACATGCAGTAGGACTACTACAGGGTAATTTCCAGAGTATCATTTCCCAATACCGACTACAATTTTTAAGCTGGCCTCTGAATGTACGTATGTCAGTAATAGAGGACTTGCCTAACATGTATGAGGTCCTGGATTCTAACCCCAGCATTGCTGGGGGGAAAAATCATAAGGAACAGGCCCATAATAAAAACCACAGCAAGTACTGCAAGATGGAAAAGAGCTGTGTGGGGAGGGGAATGTGTGGCATGCAAACCTTATTTTTGTTTTTTGGGGTTTTTTTGGTACCGGGGATCAAACTCAGGACTATGTGCTTTTTTTTTTTTTTTCTTTTTTTGTCTTTTTCGTTTTTATCAGTACCAGGGATCGAACTCACGACTGCCTGCTTGCAAGGCAGGTGCTTATACCGCTGAGCTATATCCCCAGCCCCGACTATGTGCTTTTAAGGCAGGCACTTATGCCGCTGAGCTAAATCCCCAGCTCCAAACCTTTTTTTTGTAACACAGGAAAATCCATTTCACTAGGACTTACTTTAATTTTGCAGTGTTGAGGATGGAACTGAAGGCCTCATACATGCGAGGCAAACTACATCCCTCCCCTGCCATTTGGAAAGCAGCTTCTCTATCCTGAGGTAGAGGTAGGGAGTCCAATCCACGCCAGAATGGTGGTAAGACCAGGCAGTTGTAAAAGTGACTCAAGTCCACAGAACAGAAGGATGAGAAATGGCTGCTGGACAAGGCTTTAGACATCCATCCACAGACAGTGCTACAGGATGGCTGCAGTGATTAACCATCCTACTTGCCCCACTTCCATCTCCTAGGCCTCTCTTCTACTTGCTGAGCAGAACCTCCACATTTGGCTCATTATCAGAAAGATCTGTTTTCAAGTCTTTCTAGAACACTAGTTTCCAGAAACAAACTTCGAGCCCTAAATTTCAGATACCCTGGGTTTTGTCAAGATTCTTATGAAGAGAGCCAAGGCTGGGGCAGATGAAAGGCTTACTTCAAGTGACTAAATTACTCTCACCAAGACACATCTATAAATCCTTTAGTAAGGGCAAAGTCACGAGTCTTCTCTGCCAGGAAGTCCTCATCAATTTCACAGGCCCTCAACAGTTGCCCTGCTCCACTGCCCATCTCTTCCCTTTGCAGTCACAACAACCCAGAACCACTGAGACAGAGGTCTGCAATTATAGGACATCTATCTTTTGAGGGACAGCATATAACATATTCATTGTATAGCTAAGTACAATGGCCTTGTTCCCATCAAGACTGGGAGTTTTCAAGATATTTTGGGTAAACTATCTCTGCACAAAGTAAAAAGGAGTCAATCAATGCAGGAATAAATTCTAAAAGTCTGAACTACTTCAAACAAAAGATGAAAAAAAGTAAAAATGAGTCATTCTCCTTTTTCCTCTGACAAGCAAGAAAAGTCTCTTTTCTCTCCCCAAAAAAGTTCATTTAGGGCCAAGGATTTAGCTCAGTGGCATAAATGCCTGCCTGGTAAGCACGAGATCATAAGTTCAATCCCCAGTGTCCAAAAAAAAAAAAAATTCCATTTCACTAGTTCACCAGTATACTTCATTTTTGTGTATTTTTAAGTGGCTACAGAGCGGTAAGATGTGCTAAGGGCCGGGGGTAGCTCAGTGACATAGCACCTGCCTGGCAAGCACAAGGTCCTGAGTTTGATTCCCAGTACCAAAAAAAAAAAAGAGTAGCCCTGCGCTAAACTATCAAGCTCTAAAGAAAATCTGTATGAGGGAAAAAAACATCCAGAGCATAGCACAGGTGAGTGACTCTGGAGACTAACTCAAAAAATCACAGCTGAGTCCCAGCATTACTGTCCCATGGGACACTATGGGCTTATATTAAGTAGGACAAGCTAGCAGGCCAGCCTAGAACCTGGGGATTACAGAGATGGTGCTCTGGCTCCCAAGTTTCCTTTTCAAGGTCACTTATTAACTCACAAGACAGTTCTCTTTCCCCTACACAGCATTGTAAGAGTACAATCTCTCTACACAATGCATTAGAACAATTTTTAAGAGTTTGGATTCCATCCAGTGAGCACTAGAAGGGCAACAGGTCATTACCTAGCTACTAAGTGGCCCTGGCCACTTTTCTGGCCCAGGTGGACTCTCAGCTAGTTCTCAAGAATAGCGGTATCACAGTGCAATTCAAGACTAGATGCTACTCCAGGGAACAAGGTTCAAGGCTCAAGAGTCAACAATTACAAATAAGGAAGTGACCAGCACCAATCCCCTCTCCTCTAGTGATGTTTCTAGAACCTCCCTAAAACCAGGGTGCCTGGGATACAGGCAGTTGTACACATCTTGTGGGGATGGGGACACAGTAGAGTAGGTGGTTAAAAAGGCCTTAGAGTCCAGGAACATGTTCCCCAGACACCACACACAGTATCCACAGGAGGAGCCAGCTGAGCACTTGGTGCACAAATTACCATGATTACCTTGTACCATGTATTGTGGAGGAAGACAAAGCACAGCATGCTCAGCAGAAATGGGAGCTGCCCCCAGTGGCCAAACCACATATTGCCTTGAGCCCAGTAGTAGGAACCAGACAAAGGCACCAGGGTCCCTGCATTCATGATGAAGCTGACATAATGTAACACATTCTTTGAAGCTGCAGTTGCTCTTGATCTTAAGTGCAGAACCAGGCTCTGACAGAAATCAAACTTACACACCTTGTTTACTCTCTGGAGATAACACTTTTGCTGTTCCAAAATCTGTGATCTGGATGTGCATGTCTTCATTTAACAAAATATTTTCTGGTTTAAGGTCCCTGTAAAAGCAAAATTTTACAGCTGAAATAAAATACTTAAACAGCAGCAATATTACACTCTATATTTCAATGAAACAAAATGAAATGAATACTTACCATCTTTATACAAATCCAAAGTGCACACCAAACAAATACCAATTGCTTACAGTAAGGAGATTCAAATTATAACATTTTATAACTATCATAATTTTAATAAACGTTTTATTGACATATAATCTATGCTTTTTAACTCAAAAATAAAAAGTTTAAAAATACTCCCAATATGACTTTATCAGAAAGTCAAGGGGAATAAGACTAGAAATAAATATACACAAAAGCACTACTGACCAAATAAAAGTGCCAGATGAGATCATATTAGTTGCTGGCTTGGTAGAAAGACATCAGCTCATGCTGACCTGGCAAGTAAAGGCAGGACTCTTGATACACAAGTTCTTCTGACTTTTAGCCTCTACTCAGCTTTCACAGCAACCATCACCTGACACCCATGTCCCACTGTCCATAAAGCACCCTACTGCTGACCCCAGAGGACTGCAGTGGTTTTTGGTTGGAGGTCAAAAGGCCATAGGCCCTTTGTTCTCACACTGACTGTCCTATACATCCGCCCTGCAGCCTTGGGTTACCTGTGAATGATGCCCTTGCCATGCAGGTACTCAAGAGCAGACACGATCTCAGCTGTGTAAAATCGAGTGCAGGTCTCATCAAATGAACCAATTTTGCGGATGTATTTAAGTAATTCCCCATTTTTGGCATAGCTAAGGCCAAAGTCTGAATATGGTACAGTTAAGGAAGAATGGAAAAATCTTTTTTTAAAAAAACTAACTTTAAGAGCTCAGTAAGAAACACTCTCCCAATCACAGTACTGAGGATTAAACTGAGGAGAATTCCACCACTGTGATATATCTCCAGCTCTTCTAATTTTGAGAGAGTCTCACTAAGTTGCCCCGCCTGGTCTGAAAATTGTGATCCTTCCTGTCTCAGCCTCCCAAGTAGCTAAGACTAATGGTATATGCCATCATGCCCAACAGAACTTTTTATTAAATGCAAACTGAAGCCTAAGACAGTCACTCTTTTTTTAAGTCAGATTCAGCCCAGGCTCCAAGACCAGGCATCAGCACAATGTTTCTCACTATAACACAATACCATCATCCCTTTCAGCCTGGACTGTACTTCTAGACATACAGTCCCTAGAGGCATCTGTCACCTATAGGAAGAAACTACCAGAAATGGTTGTTGGCTCTACAGCCCCTGGCCAAGATACAGATAACATGTGTGAGGCTTCAAGCGCAGAGAAGAGATCTGGAAAAAGGTTTTAACTACAAACCTTGCTTGAGCTTGCTGCCTTCCATACACTGCTGACATCCATGCCTGTGGCTGCTCCTTCCATTGCATAAAAGTGACCCCCTTTGTAAGAGAAGAGCCATTTTATTAACTTCTTGATTTATCTGATCTATCTGTGAGGTGTCCACTAGGGAGAGACAGGAGGGGTATCCAGCATCCCCATGGACCCTACACTGCAATATGTTTCATTTGTACTCTCCTAGTTCTGATGGGACTGAGAGCTGACCAGAAACAGCTCCTGCTCATATAACTATTTCCCATGAACACACCAAACACTTGGGCCTCTGTTTGTTTGATTGTTTTGAGACAAGGTCTCACTATGTTGTTTGGGCTTGCCTTGAACTCACTGTGTAGCTCAGGTTAGCCTGGAACTTGTGGCAATTCTCCTATGTCAGCCTTCCAAGTGTTATGAATATAAGTACGCGCCACCACACCTGACTCATTGTGCTTTTATGTTACTGGAAATTCTCAGGTACCTCGTATCTCCCTGGCAGCCCAGGAACCACCCTGAGAAGCAGCTCTGGAAGTCACAAAGGGTGGTTTGTGTTCAAGATGCCTGGCTGGCCTTCTATCTGCCAAGGTACTACCATCTTCTACCAAGGAAGGAGAATGAGGCTCAAGGGCTGCAAAACAAACTCAACAGGGAAGGGACCACAGCCACAGCTATCCAAAGCTATCCCTATCCAGGGTATCTCTGACTCCTTTATCTCCCACCTTCGACAATGCTTGACAGAAATCTGAAATAAAAAGCCTCTTTATTTTGGGGAACCATACAGTCTTGGCCAGGTGCCACTCACTTCACCTGCCCACTCCCTCACAAAAAAAAAAAAAAAAAAAAGGGGGGGGGGTTGCTCCCACAGTCACTAGCTGTGATCTAGCTGGGCTAGCTGCAAGACCTTGCCTGTTTGGAGCCCAGGTATAAGGCTCAGACTTGGTTACAATTAGAAGGAGCAGTTTCTTGCCTTTTCTGGCTTTATGGTTTAACCCTTTACTTGATCTCTCAATGGTTCTTGCTTCCTGCATAGTACATCTCTACTCAGCAGTGGGTCAGAGGTGACCAACAGGTCTTAAATATAGTGTTTCCCCAGTATTACTGAAGTGTGCTTCTTCATAACTCATTAGAATGTTCAACCCTTGGCCATAGCCTATGCTCCAAGGGCAATAAGAAGGAAGTAGCAGCTGTCCTACCTCACACAGACCAGCCCTGTGAACAGAGCCTCTGGAGCCTGACAAGCCTAATCCTTACAGTTTGTAGAAGAGGCACCCAACCTAAAGATTAAGCATCTGACCCAAGGTCACAAAGCAAAGGTGGTACAGAATCAGAGTCTACCTAGAGCAGTATTTTTAACTCCTTACTGTATATATTACCACAAAGCCAAAAAGGTACAGATCAGCCTGATGAGAGCTAGAAAAAGATGGCTACCCAAACAGAAACAGTATCTGAGCCCTCTGCCTCTCTTTCCCAATAGAAATTATTGCTAAATGGATAGTGTCCTATTTAGGCATCTCCTCAAGTGAAGAGTTTCATTTTCTTTTCTTTCTCAACATAATACACACCATGGACCTGGGCATGGTCGCACATGCCTGTGATCCAGCACTTGGGAGGCTGAAGTAGAAGGATCGCCATGAACCAGGAATTTGAGACCAGCCTTGACTACTTAGTGAGTTCAAGGCCAGCCTGGATTATACAGCAAGAGATCTGTCTCAGAAATACACACACACACACACACACACACACACACACACACACACACACACGGATTTCAAATGGGGCAGAAGTCCTTAGGTCATGGGCCTGGGATTTAGCTCAGCTGCACAAGTGCCTGCCTGGCAAGCACAAGGTCATGAGTTTGATCTCCAGTACACACACACACACACACACACACACACACACACACACACACACACAAGGTCCTTGGGTCTCATTCTTGTGGGTCTTGGTGAGCCCTCACAACCCTTAAGGCTTTTGGAATTTGTCATTTTATTTTATTTTTGTGGTAATGTTGGCAACTGAATAAAATTTGATGATCACTAAAGAAAGACCTAGGGTTGCTATCCACCTACACAGCTTGGGTCAGTCTGTCCTGAAAGTCAGACAGCAAGAGCACTCTTACCTAAACTTTGTGGCCTAATTCAACTACCTGTGACCCTTGGAGATGATGTCAAGTGTATGTCCATAGTTTGGAAATGGTTTTGGTGTCCCCCAAGGAACATATGACTGGAGGCTTGGTCCTAGTGAGGGAATATTGGGAAGTTGTGGAACCTTTAATAGGTAGAGTTTGGTGGGACATCCTTAGGTCACTGGACTGGAAGCTGTTCTCCTGAATATCTTGGTAGTTTTTTTGTTTTTTTTTTTTTGAGACAGAGTCTCACTATGCAGTTCACACTGTCCTTAAACTCACTATGTAGCCAGGCTGGCCTTACTATGGCAAAAATAGTGCCTCAGCCTCCTGAGTGCTATTGATTATAGGCATATATCACCATGTCTGGCTTTTGTGACAGAAATTTTGATAAAATTTACTTGGAGTAATTCCTTTCAAAAGAAAAAGAAAAGAAGATTATAGGCACACACCACCATGCCTGGCTCTTGATTGTTCTTGAGAAAGTTGTCATAAAAAGAGCAAGCCCCACCCCATCCACTCTCTCTCTGCTCTCTGGTTGGAGATGTGATCCTTCTTCTGCACTTTTACTGTCTGCCACCTGCCCACAGGGCCACTGCCTGCACCATGTCATTTGGTGTAGAGAGTTCAGTCTCAGAACCATGAGCTGAACAGATCTCTTGTTTTATAAAACTGGCTATTTCAGACATTTCACGGTAGTTATAAAAGATACCCAGGGAAGAGGCACAGACAACAAGCACAGCATCCTGAGTGCCATGGCCTGAACCTTTAAATGTCTGTGAATCAGAGACTTCCACAGACTCAAAGAGGGGCAGTCACATTGGGATCCAGGGGGCATAATAGGGATCAGGACAGTCCCAGGTTAACAGACACAAAACAGAACATGAAAAGACCACTGATGGCTGATACATGAGCAGTCCCAGAAGAGATGGGGAAAAAGATTGGTACTGGAAGATAGCCGGCCCCATCTAGATGCCAACACACTATGAGACCTAAAACTACCAACAAAGGACTATGGGGTCATCACTCCCTGGAGCACACCACTGCTCCTCCTTAAGGAGACTACTAAGGAAAAGCCCTGAGAGTACCCCCACCATACTCTCTGTTCTGAACCTTGCCCCTAAGAAATTGTCAGTTCTGTCAATAATTTGCATGGGGACAAATCTTCTGCTCTGGCCCAGGCACTGGACCACTGAGTCACATCTGGCTCAGCATCTGGCAACCCACCATATCAACAAAGCTGACTTAGCTACCCAGCAACATCTTATCAGTTTCCTCCTCCCCTGGATGGCCAGGAGTGACAACCCTGGATCTGAGAGTCATCCTTCATGGGCAGCCATTCAATGGCTCACTCATCCAAACAATAAGCACCACCAGATATATCAAATGACAATCCAGTATCCTCCCAGCCCAGCAAATGCTCAGCCATGTTGCTCAGTAACAAATACCACTGAATGTCAGGCTCTGAGGGCTAATTCCTGGAGCTGCCAGACTCTGCTCTCTCAACATCATGACTCAGAGAACCAGACCACTTCATCTTGGGGTGGCACATCTATCAAACCCACATGCTTGAATTGTGTCCATAAACTCAGCCCCACAGGCCTGCACCTGGCCTAAACTACTTTTGCTAGCTTGCCCTACTATCTGGGTGATTGTGACATACTTCTTAATATTCTGTGCTAACACATCCCTCATCATGTAAGCCCATTAGGGCAGAGCCTTCTCCTTGCTTTCCAACACATTCCCATCTTCCTGGGAATGAAATGAAAAGCACTTCTAAATGAATAAAAGAAAATTTTAACTCCAGGCTCACCATGACAGCTTGAAGGGAGAAGAGGGAGGATAAATCCAGTCAGCACTAGGAAGAATCAAAAGACAGTATTAACAGTAGAAACAGAATGGGTAGGGTGACCTTTACCTATAATTAATCTCAGCACTTTAGGAGGCTGAGACAAAAAGGCTGCAAATTTAAGCCCCACCTGGGCAATTCAATGACTTAGTGAGACCCTGTTTCAAAACTTAAAATAAATAAGAGAGAGAGACAGAGACAGACAGACAGAGAGACAGCGAGACAGAGAAAGAGAGACAGAGAGAATGAAACACAAGACAAAAGCCCTGGGTTCAACTCCAAGGAACACACACACACACATACACAGTGGGAACAGGGGGTTGAGGGTATGGCTCAGTGGTAGAGCACATACTTAGCATGTATAAGGACTTTGGTTCAATTCCTAGCACTACAAAAAGTAAAAATTTTAAAGACAGACATAATGACATATGCCTATAAATGAGGGTAGATGATGCAGAAAGATTGTGAGTTTAAGTGTCATCTGGCAGATTTAGTGAGACTGTCTTAAAATTAAAAATAAGCAAATAAAAAAAAGGTTGGGAATGCAGCTGAGTACCGTGGAGTTTGATATCTAGTATCATTAAAAATTAAAAAATTTTTAAAAAGTGAGAACAGAACAGAACAAAGTTGTAACACAGAAGAATCAGTGGGAAATGGAAGAGGCACATAACCCCTCAGATACTTGGACCAGCTTTGAGGGCAATGATGGGAGGAGAAGGAAGGAAGAAGCTCCCCTGAAGGGGAGATTAGCCACTGGGAGCAAGGCCCAAATGCCTGGTTCAGAGGTGAGCTGGTGCCCCAAAGTTATACATCCACAAGCCTGACTCCGGATTTCTAAGCAATGGTTCAAGAGAAAACACTGTTCTCCCAGAGGTCAGAGAAGCAACAGCTATGGACAAAACAAAGACACAGTGGAAGACAAATCTGTTAGAGAAATAACAGAAATTTGTAGAGAGAAGAGGTACTAAGGAAGCCCACAGCAGGAGTACAGCACCTAGTGTGAAGAGGAAAGTTCAGGCTCCCATGGGCCTGCTCCCTGGACTTCTCAAATGTCCAGGGAGAGAGATGTCCCTTCCAACCAAACCCTATACCAAGGCCCAAACAGGGCAGAGAGGAGCTCACTGTAGGAGTCTGAAGATGCCCAAGATGGTTCTTTCTCTCCTGGCCCCTTGTTCACTTGAGTGCAGGGTTCAATAACTACCTGACACTAACAAAGATGTTGGTTAGAGAAATGAAGACATGCCTTTGCATCAATATTCAGTGGCCAGATTTAAAATAACAACAGTTCACTAGTTTGGTGTTTATCAATAAAAATCTCAAAAATTATGGGACAGTTTCCCCTTCAGAGAAAGACAGTTGTCAGCCTCGACCTCATTCAGTCTTTGGCACTGTCTGCTGCCTTGAGGAATGCCAGCCACTCAGAAATCCAAGAGTAGCAGGGTAATTTTTGCACTATACCCTTTCCTTCCAGGGGAAGAGGTTACTTGTGAGAATGAACAGTGGGGTGTCATGATTCCAAAATGAGAGGGAAGACTGATGTGATTTCAAATGGCACTAACCACACAAAGGATACACAGCTTTTCATCATCCTGAAAAGTGAAGTAAAGCTTAACGAAGAAAGGGTGATCCAGGCGTGACATCACATCTCGCTCTCTGGTTACATATGGGACTTTGTTTTCTTTTATAATATGACGTTTCTCCAGAATTTTAACTTAAGGTAAGAGATAAATGAGTTACAATAACTGGAAAAGGTAAAAACAGTAAAAATACATTTCATAAAAGTACTGGCACAAATTAATTTTTCCAAACTCACCCACACCAGCTTCATGACTCTAAGACCTAGATCTAAAATCAGCACAGAAACCTCCAGCCCTGCCAAAAAGTTGCTATGTTCATGAAGGCTCCCCTATCTCCAAGCCCCAGACACACAGCTCACTGGAACAAATACTTACTAGCATATTCTCGAGAGGTGGCTAGTTCTCGGGCCAGGACAACCTGGTTTGGGAAGAAAAGGGAAAAAGAGAAGGGGGAAAAAAAAAACAATGTAATAACCAAGAGATAGTCTGACTGATCACTGCCACACACTTCCCCACCCCACTCAAGGTTTGAAACCGTATTTAAATATTTTGGTTCTTGCACTAACAAATGGTAGAACATCACTGTTCATATTAAGGTATTCAACTATTAGCATATAAATCTCTGTATTGTTTCCAAAAGGCCCATGAACAGCTGCCAGTAGTCCTGAATGTACAGTAAAAATATAAATTCAAGAACATCACAGAAAGAGAGAAAAAAAGCCTCAAAGAGTAACATAGTCAAATGCTGCTGCTATTAACTACTGGGAATTTTTTCACAAAATAACTTCCAAGGATATGTCCTTTTAGTACATATCCATGGTAAAAAGTTGTGCTGAACATGGGCATTTTCTTTCTTTTTTTCTTTTTTCTTTTTGATACCAGAAATCACACTCAGAGCCTCGTGCTTGACAGGAAAGCACTGTGCCGTTGAGCTATATCCCCCATCCTGGCTTTTCGAATGACTGTTATCATACATTTCACTTCAGGATACAAGTATAAATCATGGCTATAAATGGCACAGGGACTAAACCAACGAGCCATCCCCACCCATGTTCCCAGGACACATCCATGTGGCCCCCTCTTTCCTCTCAGAATACACCTGAGCCTATGCTAGGACTCCACTTCAGGGACATAGCACCCAACATGGCATCCCCAAAATGGAAAAATTCACTCTGCACTAGCAAACCTAGGCACACCTGAGGAACCAAAGTAGAAGGAGTGATGGCACTAAGGTTTAGCTAGTGTTTGCAGGGGTTGCTTTGCCATGGAAGGGTTCACTACTGTTTGTATGTATGTCCTAAGACATTTACAGAGAGATAACCTGAAGACCTGATAGCATTAAACCTGTCCCTATGATATAGTTGGGCCTGGCACAAAGGCTTTCAGGCGATTACAAGGCCAGTTTTTCCTAGCCTCTGGTTATGTGAGTCATATCTGGTGACAGAATTCGAGATTCTACCCTCCCCACCACCACCACCACCACCACCACTACCTCCTGCCATGCCCCATGCTAGGGATGGAATCCAGGGCTTCCAGCATGTTAGGCAAGCACTCCATCACTGAGTTATAACCCCAGCCCTGCAAGAATTATGGGCAGGAGTCTCAGACTTAAACTTGGAAAAGCACTGTGAGATGTCTGCCATCATCAGAAATGAGGTCGAGTTATATGTGCTTAGGTGAAAAGATCTTTGAGATCTTTCCAGAGGAATATGGTGTGTGTGGAGGGTTGCCAGCAGCAAGGGTGAGGGGAGTAGGTTGGGGCAAGACTTTCTCATTCAGAGTTATACACCTAAGCAACACAACATTCCTTCAAGTGAGTGTGTGTGCTAGCTTTGTGAATAGAAAGAAAAAAAGAACTATTAGAAAACACTACTGTTAAGTGTAATCCTAAGGAGACATCAGAAAGGCAATCTATCTGTTGTCTAATTTTAGCATGTCATGAGGATTCCCATGGGGAGGGATAAGGAGTATTCTTCCGAACACTCTTATATGACATGTCCCTCCACATCACCTGGGGTGACATCCTGGGAAGTAGGGGACTTTTACTCTCTCACACCAGTGCCAGTCCTGCCAACTGAAGATGCTGCTTAGTCTTATAACCATATCCATCCCTTACCACTCTCCTGAAATTCTGTTTTTGTTTTGTTTTGTTTTGTTCTTCAAGACAGGGTCTTGCCATGCAGTTCAGCTGGCCTTGAACTCACTATGTAGTCCAGGGTGGCCGCAAACTCACAGCAATCCTCCTGCTTCAGCTTCCCAAGTGCTGGTATTCCAGGCATGTATCACCACGTTCAGCCTTTTTTTGTCATTTTGAAATACAGTTTCACCATGCAGTTCAGCTTGAACTCACTTTGTAGTCCAGGCTGGCCTTGAACTTGCAGCAATGCCTTCTGAGTGCTGAGATTACAGGCGTGTGCCACCACACCTGGCCTTTGGAAATCTGAATTTAAGTGGCCTCTATTTCAGGAATGGTGAGAAAGTTTAGAAGGTAACATTCAATCAAGACCCAGGCTACAGATTCTAACAGCCAAGAAAGGACCTCTGGATCACAGCACTTTTCCATGTACCACATGGCACAGGACAAGAGTGCCATCCAGAAAGGATGATATTTACTTTGCAGACCAGAGACTGAGGAACATGCCAGTACCATGAGTATGTCCTCATGCCAGCTGAGATAAATGTGAAGAAGCAAAACCGAGAACAGGGGAGAGCTTTCACGAGATGTCCTTAGTAGCTGTGCACAACACTCAAAATTCTCAAGCCATTTCCTCTTACTTCAAGGGGTGGTGAGCACCAGAATCACTGGGAGCTCTTCAGGGCTGAAGGCTTTTGTCATGAGGGCACAGTCCTTTTATAAACAAAATTAATTTATAAATGTTGCTAATAGGCAGGCATGGTGGTACACATTCATCTGTAACCCCAGCACTTGGCAGGCTGAAGTAGAAAGACTGCTACAAATTTGAGGTCAGCCTGGGCTATACAGTGAGTTTAAGACCAGCCTAAACTACATAGTGAGCCCTGTCTTTAAAACTAAAAAGTATAAGGGTAGTAAAAGTTAACATTAATTTTATGTTGGGAATATAGGTAAACTATATTCCCAGGGTTTTTTTTTTTTTCTGTATTTCAGAATCTTTCATAAATGTAAAAAATAGAAAAAGAAAATAAATTCCACATATGGTTTCTTAAAAAAGCCGAGACAGGAAATACTGGCTATTTAAGAAGTCTTCCAGAGTGAGGCATCGAGGGCTACTCTGAAGTACCTGTCCAAAACTAGAGATCACACATAGGGCCACCATAAGAAGGGATCTATATATTCTTTTGCAGAGAGGCCCCTCTGGATTAAGAATGTGCCCCTGGAGCTGGGGGCTCCTCTGAGGTCACAACCTTGCACAGCTACAGCCACGTAGCCTCAGCAAAGGTTTGCTACATGCAACCTTCATTTTTTTGCTTTCAGGGCAAAAGCACTTCAAGACAGGTAAATTTCATGAGTTTGATCTGACAGCACTTTGACAATGTTTCTGCCTATGAAACTAAGAACGAAGAATCCAGGAGCCGTATCTCTAGCAAATGTCCAGGTACACTACATGATTTATTAAAACAAAAACTACCAGAAACACTTTTTTAAAAGATCATTAAATGTTACCAAAACATATCTGAAGAGTTATTAACACTAATACTAACTTTCAATGTAAGGATAGAAGTCTTAGGACATGTCCAGGGAAAAGAGAACACAGAAGGCAACCTGTTGATACCAGGTTAGAAAGAAACTAACTGTGTTAAATAATAACAATACTAATAACAACAATAACCATAGGCTGGGCACAACTTGGGAGGCTGAGGCAGAAGGATGGCATGAACAAAGCAAGTGAAACCATTTTTCAAAAATTAAAAAAAATTTTAAAGGCTAAGAGTATAGCTCAGTGGTAAAACACTTAGCTCTAAGTTCAACCCCCAGCACCCCCCACAAAATAAAATAAAATAAAATCAAGAGGCTTTGTTTTTTTTTTTTTTTTTCTGAGACAGGGTCTCATTATGTTACCCATGTTGGCCTCTAATTGGACCTAAATGATCCTCCCACCTTAGCCTTCAAGTCTTGGGAATATAGGTGTATACCACTATATTTAGCAAGAAATGCTTTTTAAAGGTTTTATGAACAAAGTCACACAGTCTGCTATGGGAGTCTATTCCTGAAGCCCTCACCAACCTTCACAACAGGAGATGGCCCAGGAGGAACCTGGGGCCACCTCCTGGGAAGAACACTGCCTGCAAGTCATGTGTCCCAGCTCTGAGACCCAAGACAGGGGTAATATGCTCATGTAACAAGAAGTGGCAGCACATACTCACTGTCGAAAAAGAACCCTCGCCAAGAATTTTTCCAAACTTGAAGTCTTCAGGCCGTTTCTTTCGAGGCTGTGGTAGAGGCTGGGCAGCATGCTGCAAGTTGTTGGCACTTGGCCGGGACTCGGCTGTGGTGCCATCCATGGTGGGGCCCTGCCTGCTGCCACCACTGGGAACACTGGGAGCTGTGCCAGACTCGGTCTGTGTCCTCACCATTGATGGGGATGGGCAGGCACATAACACCACGCTGGACTGGATGGGAACGGTGTCATACTGTGGACACAGATGATAGAGGTTAAGACAAGAGGCTCACTGGTCCTGGACACATGGCTTAAGTACCATTTCAAGACACTGTCTACAGCAGGGCAGCCCATCTAACCTACTGATAACTTTGGGGTTGCTGCTCTTCCCTCTTCATATCCAGCTATTATCCCACCTTTTCCTCAGCAAGTCCTCACCTCTCCCCCAGCACTGCATGAGTCTCCAATTAACTCCCACAAAGCTAAGCTAAGGCAACCAAAGAAAGAACTGTACATTTTTAGTTGTGGAGGGGGCTGAGTAGATAAGAGCAATGATTAAATATAATTCAGAAATTCCCAATGCTGACAAGATTACGCTAAAGTAAGCACACTCATACAACTGTGTTGGCACCAAAAAAACCATTTGGCTGTTAAAATGTTTTTACAAAGCAATTTGGCAATTGTTAACAAAGCAACTATAAGAACACTAGTCAATGAGATACAGAAATATGAAAATAAGGGGAAGCTGGCCATGGTGGCACACACCTATAATCCCAGCACTTGGATTGTCTTGAGTTTGAGGCCAGCCTGGGCTACACAGTGAGTTCAAGGTTGGCCTGGACTACAGAAGTGAGATCCTGTCTCAAGAAAGAGAGAGAGATAGAGACAGAGAGAGACAGAGAGACAGAAAAAAATACACAGTTAAGAATGAAATGGGCAATAACAAAAGATCATATACTGTTTAAAGCTAAATCCATAAAAGGTATGCCTACACACATAAAAGCCCTTCTCCAGTACTGTCCCTGACATATCTTCTCAGTTGTTGATACTGGCAAACCTACCATTAGACTGTGACAGAAAACACAAGGTACCCAGTTGCTGGTCTCTAATATTCCACCCAACTAAAGAAGCCAAGAAGGCACTTAACTTGGGTCTTGGAACCCTTACTGCATCTGAAAACCAAGTCTCTCAATCTGTCTCTAAAAGATGGAGGCAGCGCAGAGATCTCTCATCAGGGCTATCACTGACCAAGCCATGTGCTTTCAAACACTAAACAGACTGATCTCAGAAAAGCCATATGTCTACAATGACACATAAAGTGGTAAAAGTCATTCCATATGATAATATAAGAGGCTGACTATGGATGAATGAGTAATTTTATGAGTAAACAAAGGAGTGTGAACATAGAGCTGTTTCTTCAACTATCTGCACATTTATAAGAACAGAGAAGGGTTTTCTGTCCGTATAAACAGAAGGGTATATACAAAGAGAACCATAAAGAAATCAGAGTTCTGGAAAAGCAGTAAATCTCAAATACAACAAAGACATGTGAGTACTCAGCAACTAACAAATGATGTACAGGATGACAGCTTGGCCACCAAAAAAAGAGCTAACAGGGATACTTACCTTGAGATTGCAAAATGCATAACAAGAACAAAAAAAAAAATCTAGATGGAACATCCAGTGACCCAAACATGAAGAACATGGAGATGGAGAAGGGAGGAAACAGATGGTGAGAACTTGTGGTTACCTGGGCAGCCCAGGAATGCAGTGTGTGAACCTTGGTTCCATGCATGATGCCAACCCTGGAAAGGTCAGCTCTCCAGAAGCATACCCTTATTAACTCCCAGCTAGGGAACAATCATCAGGAGTTCTGACCGCCAGAGGAGTCCATGGCCAGACAGGTTCTCTTTCTTATGAGTCTGCTAAGATCATCATCACTAAGGAGTCAACCAGATACACTGTGCATCAATAAAATATGACCAACTAACCTGATAATATCTAAGGAAATATGATCAGCAAGATGTCAGTTTTCATTTTTTAATATGCCAAGGTGTTTAAATAATCAGTGAAATCCGCAGATGCAGAAGTTTAATAGGCTGACTCTGAAGTAAAGTCAAAATGCTAACAAGTAATCTCCACACACAAAACCACTTTGACTTCATACTAGAAACTAAGCCTAAGAAAATGAGTAAACATTATTTTAAAGCCACATTTATAAAGTATTCTCAAAGGAAGGAAGGAAGAAAGAAGATGAGGAGGAAGAGAACTAGAAGGAGAAGAAAGGAGAGCAAGGAAGAAGGGGAGAAATACACCAAATTTTCCAGTGGTAGAACCTAGCATGTGCAAGGCAAGAGTTCTTGTTTTGGTCCTGGCATGGAGAGGGGGGAGGAGGGATTTCCTCTGCTGCTCTGAGTATAGAACAGTCCAGATACAAGAAACAGTGATTAGGCACAGAAGAATGTATACATTTAATAAAACACTATGCAATTCTTAAAAACAGATATAATGGTAATGTGTAATTCACCAACTGGTGAATGTGGATGAAGGGATCTGATAAGATCATCTTTATTTTTCTAGAAATTTTTTTATAAACTTAAAGTTATTTTTTTAAGAACAGAATATATTTATTGAGGAAAGAAAGTTTCCATTTGAGAGAGAGGAGTTTAAAGTGGGTTCCCTTAGTTTTCTTTTCTTTCTTTCTTTTTTTTTTTTTTTTTTTTTGGTAAGTTTTATTTTACAGAGAATAAAACCAAGCAAATAAAACAGAACAAAGCCAATCAAAACAAAACAGCATAAGTGATACAGAACTTCAAAGCAAGGTAATAGGAAATCAACAATGGTTACCATAATGCCTCGTTGTCTTCAAAATAGCTGCCCATAATTCAGACACAGTAAAAATCAAACAAAACAGAGCAGAATCGAATAAAAACAAAACAATGAACACAAAAAAAGGACTTAAAACAAGATAATAGTAAACCCAAAATGGCTACCATAATATATCTTGTTATTTAAATAGCTGTCCATGCCATTGGAAATAATAAAATCAAACAAGACAAAACAGAATAAAACCCAACCAAACAAAACAATGAAAATGATACAGGACTTCAAAGCAAGATAATAGGGAATCAACAATGGTCACCACCCTTAGAAAGAGATCCCTCATAGATGCTTCACTGCGCAGTTATCCTCTGAACAGATGATCAGACTACCGGTTTCAGGCCTGCAAAGTCAGTGAAATACTAAACACTACAAGCATTAAATTGTATTTTACCTCAATAGCTATCATCACAGCCTGTGTTTCTCTGAATCAGCCGTTGCCTAGGGTGGGGGTGGGGAACGTGGTGGGGGAGAAACTTGGCTCTCCTTGTCTCCTAGCCTGTGTGCTGGAAGGGGCTGGCAATCTGAAATTATTTTTAACTAAAAAGTAACACAAACATATAAAAGAATGCAAAACTGGAAGAGTATTAACTTGGCAAGAATGTTACAAATATAGCTGTAAAAGAGACAAGGGAATTATATACTACAAAGCAGTCATTAAACTAACAGCAACAAAAACCAAGATAAATATAACTTGATGCCAGAGGTTCCAGGTAGGTGAATGGCCTCTAGACAGAGCAATTCCATGTGTCCAAGAAGTTGATCCAATACCAGGATAAGCACAGAGGCCCTAAGATTGCTGGATCCACTGAAATTGCACATGACCTCTTCCATCAGACTCCCAAAGCTCCTAAACCTTCCTTAAGTATGAGACCCACTGCACAGCCAGACACACAACACCTCTAGCTGGCCTGGGCACCCAAACAGCATCACTTATTTGTGAGAAGCTGCTGTTTTCTTGAAAGCTAATGTGGATCAGCAATAATTCAAGTGTGCTCTTATATATTTCAGAAATACCCCACTTCACAAAAAGAACCAGTTTCACAGAGCTGAACAAAGCTCTGATATTCAGGTGATACTTTAATGATTAGTCCCTATCACCAAAGTGTACAATGTAAGTCTAATCAGACTCTCACAACTCTCTCTTTGGAAATTGGCAAGAATGTTTTGCCTTCAGGCACAATGCTAAGTGGGAAAAGGTTGTAATTACTAGGTTCAAAACCAGCAAGAACTATGATCAGCCAGGACTGTCCTTATAAGACAAGCCAGCCACATTCCATATGGGCTCTTTATAGCAGCCGAAGCTGCCCAGACACTGAAAAGGGCCTTAAGGGTCACCCATGAAAAAAACCCCAGGCCCAGAACTGAAACAGTTTGACAGGGCTGACCTGCAGGGACACAAGGGTGAAAGCAGGAGCCATGGTTCACCTGCACAATCCCAAGCACTATAGCACTGTTGGGAATTGGTCAGGCCATGCCTGAGGCAGCCATCATTGTTCCTCAGGCCAGAAAAGGGAGAACTGCCCACCACACACACCTGACCCACCAAATGTGTAACACCATATCTACAAGGCATGTTTTTCAGGCCTCACTCAAGTTCCTCCCAGTATCCAAACTCCTGCCAACCCAGACTCAAGAGACAAAGAAAGAGACACTGGCAACAATAGCAAATGCTGTCCTCCACATCAGGTCCAGCTGTTACTCTACCAGGTAGGGAGAATCTGGTTTTCAGCCAGCCCTTGATGGGGCATTCAGAGCTAACAGTCAACCATGGCAAACACAACAAAAGAAGCCTAGATTTAGGTATTCAAGGAAACACATTGTTTCTTTAACAACTAACAAATATAACCTGAGATTTAGTTCTGTGGCATAAGCACTTGCCTTGCAAGCAAGTGGTCCTGAGTTTGATCCCTGGTACCCCCCCCCAAAAAAAAAAACCCAACTCACAAATGCACTTCTGAGAGAAATCTCAGAAATACCTTTTTAATATGACTAGCTAACTTAGGACCCGGAATGCTTAACTCCACCAACATATTTCCTGACCCAACAAGTCTAGCAAAGGTGCCAAAAGGCTTGTCACATGGAAATTGATTTTTGTTTGTTTTTGTTTTATGTTCTGGGACCAACTCAGAGCCTGGAACATGGTAGGCAAGTGTTCTACCATTGAACTATTCCCCCAGCCTAACTTGCAAGTTCTTGGCCCAGGAAGACAACATTGTTTCTCAATGCTAGAGAGGAGTTCAGCCCTACAAGGTACTGTAAGTGACATCCAAAAGCAATAAGGAGTTTCCACACACCCAGCCATGACCACAGAAGAAACAGGGTGCCACAAGCAGCAGTCATCTGCATGGACAGAAGGCAAGAGGGCACTGAAGAATCTAGGCCTCACATCATCAGATTGGCTAGTCTGGGACAGATGATCCAAATACCAATTACCCTGTGAGGGACATAAAGCAGCAAACAATGCTTATCCTAAATAAAAAAATTTTAAAAATAAAAGAATGCTTACCCCGTCTTAGCACACTTATCAAGAAAATCCATCTGGAGTTCAAATTTCCTGACTACTAATTTTAACAAGAGTTCTGGCCCTTGAAGAGTGTACCAAAGACAGACAACAGGACAAAAACTTGCTGGGCTATGGTTTATAGGCATTGTTTCTAAAGAGACTTTTTAATCCCCTAAGTGTAGTCTCTATGATAACAATAAAGGCCACAGGAATAGATCTTCCTAGGGGAGCACTGCCCTTAGAAAGGCCAGTCTGCACCTGACCTGGGCTCGGGCAGCCCCTCCTTCCAGATTCCAACCAGGCAGTGCAACCCGTAGCTCCCAGACCCCGTTGTAGCTGCAGGCTACACTATGGGGTAGGAAACTACAGGTATATATCAACAGAATTCAATCTGCCCCACCATACTCCCAGATACTGGCAGCACTGACTTAAAAGGAAGCAGAGAACCAATGGACACAAACCCTGCTTGTT